AAATTCTTTTGTAAATTTGAATTATTTTGAAAAAATGTGATACATATCGTGGCGAGCGCAAAAAAATTTATTCGAACGGAGTGCCGTGAAAAATCGATAAGGAATGGGCGTGGCATAAACGAGGACAAGCCGCGCCCATTTCTTCAGCCTCTTCTCACCGGCAGATAATCATTAAAACGAATTCAATTATTGAAAACTTTGAGATTCATTTTTTATGACAATTAAATAGAATAAGGTATTTTTCTTCTAATGTGCATTATTCGTAGTAACATTGCTCCAATTGTCTATTTCAAGAAAACCGCTCATTTTCTAGTTCAAATTCTTATAAATTAATAAATGTACTAGTACGACAAAAAAATGCTCTTCGATAATGTAGCAGTACAACTTTTTGTTGAGTTGAAGGAAAAACGACGGAATTACATGTCTCATATGCAAACATCAGTAGAGATCGAAAACTTATTTGCAGGATATTGCGGTCTGATTCTCAGCACATTGATTGTGCGGAATACAATTCCTCAGTAGTTTTTTTTTGCAGGACTTGCAAAAAATTTGTGAAAAAAGAAAGCTTTCTGCACTATTAATGGTTTGCACAAAGGGTATTTCCAGAATATAAGCCAATCTCTATAGAAGTTCATGTTTTTTGAATGGAAATAAAAATAGAATCTTAAATGAAATGCAATCTCAAAAGAAAATACAATCTTTGATGGAAATGGTTATGACGCAGCTAAATGATCAAACAACAATTTAAAATCTTATCTTGGATCTCAAGAGAAAAAAAGCAAAACCTGGACACACTCTTCTTATTAGCTGACTCTTGTTTGCATAGCGATCGTCTTGTTGGAGTATCAGGAGGGGATCCACTTCGACTCACCATGTAACTTTGCTTAATCACAGATTAAGCAATAATTCATGGTATCGTTGTGAATATCATGAAAAAGGCTCAAAAAAGAAGTTCTAATTGATTGACAAATGAATAAGACTTGATAAATACACAGGAAAGATTGAAAGGTAATCAATTCATAAAAACACGGTTTGTTTGAGTGAGAAGAAAAGAGAAAAGTGTTATGATTTTAAAAAAAAAAGCGCTTAATTCGTCTGTATGTATGCGTGTGTGTGAGTTTCTCTACTTGTAACGATTTTTTTTGTCCCAGGAAATTTAAAGAGCAGTTATCAAACGATATCATGTTAAATATAGAACTTTAAGTAACATGAGCAAATTCTGCTAGAAGTGTCAGGCTCAATGGTTGGGTAAAAGCACCTCTGTGCCTTTCTTTTAGAAATGACGTTGAAAAGTAATACTCAACTTTTGACTCGTTCGGAAGAAAGCGCATGTGATAATTTTCTTTTGAAATTTAGTTAGGTAAGAAACCAAAAATCCTATCTATCCATTTTTAATTTGTTACTGGTCGTACTTGATGTCGAGACCTCGTTTTCTTTTCCGTTTCGCCTACGC